GGGGTACCCATCTGCGATAGCCTTAGAGGGCGGAGCTTACACTCATAGAATCTGGGGTTACAATACGTAACCAACGGTCTTCCCGGTCTACCAAGGACGCGGCCCGCCTCGACCGGGTAGTCTGGGTCCTCCGGAGGACCCGGCCTGTTGTTTTGGACACAGCCTGTGTTGACCGTGAACCGGAAGTGTTGGGAGTGGCATCAAGTGTTGGACCGGATGTCCATGGCATGTAGGCTGTTGTTCACAACTTCCTTGTTTCTCATAATGAGATGCTGTCTGAACGTCTTTCCTGAAATAAAATATGCATCCCATCAATTTTATTTTTAAATAAATCTAAGTTGTGCTGCATTAAGAAGGTGTTTTCTGCAGCTTACACCTGCTGCCTTGTGATCAAACTGATTGATGGAACACGCCCCCACATCGGTTCCGGGTCTGACAGGCCCACTGGTGCTGCCGGGTCACCCCATGTTCGCTAATTTAAAGTTGTCCCCGTGTCACTGGCTGGTGGATGGACTGCTCTGCTGCGTGACAGACGTCAAACCTGCGCGGGTTTTCCTCCATCAGGATGAGGGGCTTCAGAGTGTGGGAGGGAAGGGAGGAGGGGTGATGCGTGCTGTAAGTCTGGGATCAGAGAGACTGACGTCCTTGACTCATCATCATCCGTTCAACCTCACAAGCATCATATAAAAGCTGGGGGGCACACCTGCTCTTCTAAAAGGACCCCAGACCTCCATCAGCTGAGTTCAGCCTGTTACCAAAGTTCAGGGTGAGTTTCATGCATGGTTTTAATGACTCCAGTTAAGTGCAAATCAAAGATGCCTCTAATTGTTTGACTAACTTCAGTTTTGTTTCGGTGGTTCTGGTTCTGGTTCTCCCTCAGTGCCTTGCCCGACTCCACAGCAATGCTGCCCGGGAGGGAGGCTGATGTCCGGCGGCACTGCGTCCTGACGAGCCGCTGGCTGCCCGCGGCTGTGGCGCTGCTCCTCTTCCTCTCCTGCAGCCTGAGCCGCGCGCACAGCACCACGGTGGAGCACGACTTCCACATCGTCCACAACGTCGACAACAGAAGTAAGGGATTAGGATTATACTGGGATTAATCTTTCATGAGCAGACTGGGAAAAGTTAAAAGACTCAAAAGGATGAAAAGCTTCTACAAAAGCGAATTAATTTTTCTCCCAGTTTGTCTGTAAATATTTTATATTAGTCTTTTAAAGCGTTTAAACTTGGAGGCTTTTATTCTAATTATAGCCTATATGAGATTTAAAGCATATAAAWGCACATTTTAATCATTTTACAGATTTTTGTGCAGAGCACATTTTGAGCACTTTATTGAATCATGCATTGAAAAAAGAAGAACAGAACAGAAATTTACCGTGTTTTTGCTTGTGATTTTATAAAATAACCACAGGAGCACAGAAAATGTTCCCAAATTTACATGAAAAACACAAAACTTGTTTCACATTTGATGAGTTTTTACTAAATCCTATGATTTTCCACATGTGACGTTTGTGTTTTTTAATGAATCCACTGAAAATGTGCAAAACTTGTATTTCATTGGTAATCATGATGTGATTTTTGCACGTGTTTTTGTCTAAATCCACATTATTAGAAACATGTTATCTGCAAGTAAAATTACGTGATTTTTTACAAGTTTTTTGTAGTTTTTGACTCAAATCAAATTCGTTTCATGCTTGAAAACAGGATGTTTTTGTTTTCTTGTTTGTTTTATAAGAAAAAAACTATTTGAATTAAAGGTTAACACTATTTTGCTCCAAATCAGTACAAAAAAAAAGTTCACTACTATTTTTTTATAACAGTAAGTTCACATTTATGCTCTTTACATGGTTTGACAGACCTGCTTTTTTTAAAGTATTCTTTATTTTGTTCATCTTAAACAATATCAGCAATACTTTGTGTTTTTGGTGCATATTAATAAAACATTTGGTAAAATTGCTAAAGTGTCAAATATTAAACAAATCAAATACAATGAAAACCTGTCAAGAGTTGAAATGACTCAAAGTTTCCTGAATAAGAAATAAGGTAATCCTAACTGAACGAAGCTCACAGGTTKTCTTTTGAAATGATGTTGAAATTCACTCAAACTGAGCTCTGCAGTGAAGGTCGAGTCAGAGAAGGAGCCTCTTCTTTTCTCGTCACGATAAAAAGGAAATCACGCTTCGCCAATTTGTCATTTAAAATATGTGCAACCCTGTGACATGGACACTTTGATCACTTCCTGTGTTTCTGTGTGGCGTCCAGGTCCAGAGATAGACCCCTTCTGGTACGTGGGGCGCGGGGTGAGGCCCATCGGGCGCTTTGGGAAGAGGCACAGCGGCGTGGACGCGCTGGACAGCAGGGAGATGCAGTCCGTCGTCAGGACTTTGGAGCTGCTGCTCAACAGCCTCAGAAACAAGGAGAACCTGGGAAAAGGACTGGATGGAGAGGACAGGGACTGGATACCATGAGGGGTTGTCCTCGCCGCCAGTTTRCAAACTTGTGTCTTCAGTTTTTTTTTTTCCATTTTCTTCTATCTGTACATAAAGAATGTTCTGTACTGATGAATAAATGAGGATGTGTGATGAAGCTCGTTTGGTTTTGTAGGTGCACAATTAAAAAAAAAAGAAGAAGTTTGCAAATTTTTATTTATTTCATAATACATTTTAGTTCTGAGAGTACTGTGGCACATAGATAATCTGCATTCTTTGTTTTTCAAATGTATGAATCGCAACAAACGATACAAAGAGAAAGGCTTCGTCATTTCAACTGGATTTAAACAGGAAACGTTGTTTTTTGTTCTCATCTCAGCCTCTAAATTTAAGGGTTTGAGTGTAAAAATGACTTCCTGTATGAATCCAGCTTCACAAATCCAAAAACAACTTTACACGACCTCTTGCAGACGACACTGAAAGATTTGTCAACTATGATTGAATAAACATCTCCATCTTTTTTCCACACATATACACAYATTAACAGATTCAGTGGTGGGATATTATAGCGTTTTTGTACATTAGAAAAATACAGGACACTGAYAGTTGGACCCTTGCAGGTGTGCTTCTCACAGGAAACTTTACATCGATCCAATAAAAACCAGAAACATGCTTTGATACAACATCTTTGGAGAACAAGACTGACGAAAAGCACAGGATCAGTGTGCAAACTCAAAGATGTGATAAGGTCACTAACAGAAGGTCACAGAGCGTTCAAACRTCACGTCTTTGATGAATATCCACCCTGTTTTTAGGTTTTGCTCAATAAAAAGCAACCAGACGCACTGATTCTGCTGAACAGAGTGCGACTGAGGCAAGTCTCCAGAATGTAAAAATAATCCAGTCATCCTGCCACTGCTAATATTTATGGTCATCAATGTTCTTTTTTTACAGCTAATGATAAATGTTGACACTGAAAACACTCTGAGTCTGAGAAAGTTTCCATCGTAAAGGAAATAAAGCCTTGAATTTGCAATAGTTTCGGTGGTATTGCATAAAAGTTCTTCAGTAAGTACAAAAATAAGTTGCTCGTAACAAAAATCATGTCTTTATGGCACTGGTTATACAGCCCGTCTGATGTTATGTAAAAAAAAAATCTTTACATCTTAACACAAAAGCTCTGGTTGGAACAAGTGAAGGTAAAAAATTATACATTTTATTTCAATTTAAAAAAAAGCCTCAAAGCAGGAAGTGGAGGAGCCGTGACTCTGCTGAAGAAGCATGAAAATAAACGTTTACATTAAAACTTGAACGTCAGGCTCTGTGTTCAGATAGATTAAAGTTTTTTTATTTTAAAGGTCTGAGGGCACATTTTTCTAATTAAGGCCTTGATTAATATCTGTTGCCTCCGTGAAAAGCTGCTGTTTTACATTTTCAAAAACAGATTTATGTCATATATATAT